AAAAATTATATAATTAATAATTAGACAAATGACTGACAATTTGGACACAACACGACATTTTCGGAGATTATGTGTAATTAATATTTAATATCTTAAACAAAAAATTAGTTGTTATAAAATGTCCTCAATATCCAGAATGTGCATTAAATTGTATTAAATGCAGTATTTTATATAATAATGTTATCATATGATAGATTTGCAAGTGTTGTGCCAAAAGTATAACTCAATATCATGTATAGAAAGTGCCAAAACATCTCAACAATAAACTCGAATTGAAAGAAGGATTTAAAATATTGAATCCTAAAAGACAACGAACTCTCACTACAAGCATAAGGAAGCGTCTTATAAACCCATGTATTGTCAAAACCTAACAAATTCTGTGCCCAAAATAAACTGATTTTATTTTTGATTAAAAATTATGCAATTTATATATTGACAGAATTTGTCAAAAGGTAATCGATGTTTCAATGAACTAATCGAGAATAAAGGCTGACAACTGAGATCATGGACTAAACACACGAGTGATTGACAACTAATTAGTCTCACGGCTCACAAAAACGTAGTCTTCATATTTATTTTGGATTCAATTTGACTCAAAACATATTAAACCGACACTAAATTTAGATGATTTTTTGTGATTAATTACATTTTATACAAAGTTAATGATCTATCGATAGATAGATATATATTTAAATACTTGTATTGATAATAAGAATATAAAGACCTTCTAAATGCAATTCATTAATACTTATTATTGTTTTATTAAACAAAATCAAACATAAAATCACATTACGATACTCTAAATCATATTTCGTGATATTTCTCAATATTTACAATAAGACATGACATATAAAAATATTTTCATAATTAAAAACTAATTAAAAACCCATTTTTAAAGGTTGTATAAACAGTGAATTATATTATGATTTAAGACGATTTCAATCATCATTTATAACGAATTGTGTATTCAATGGACACAATCTTTGGCTTCCATTTCATTAAATCTCATATATTTTTTCAGAAAAAAATTCAAAATGAAAATAGGGTTTACTTTTTGAGGAAAACACATATAATGTTCGCATTCCTCCATTCCTCACATTTTTTCATTTTCAAAATTAACTTTCTTTTTAAAAGTAAGTGAAAAAAGTATAAACCCATTCACAATATATGCCTACTATTACTCAAAGATTGGGATTTTTGAACAAAAAAAGTTTATTTTCATTTAATAATAGAGTGAAACCAAATCTTTGATAACATTAGAAAAGATTAGTGAAAATTACGTTGAAATGAAAAATAAGGGAAATAAAAATAATGCTGTGGTCTCTGAATGTGTCTTTGAACCGACGCCTCATACGATACGTTAACCTTATGGTTAGGAAATGCGGCAAAATTATTATGAAAGACATAACAAATTGAATTAAATATAACTTCAATTCTAGTCTACGCTTATATTCATGTGTTATGCCATAAACCGCAACAACAATAACACATCCATCGCTTTCAAGTCTATAATTACACGAATCACTCGCGAACTCAACACTCTTTCCTATGAAACTGGAGTCCAAAACATATATTCAATTATTTGATTATTAATATTCTGTGCGATAATACCTCTCATGACATGTAATGTTATTTTCTTCTCGCCATTCAATCACTAAAATAACACTGTATTTAATCATAAAGTAATAGTCTTTTTGTCAATATTAGCGACAAAATTATGATTGCATTCACTTATCAATAATAATCCCCTTTTATTCTCTCCATTCAATGGATTTATGTGTTGAAGTAATGCTCACTTTTTTTGTATCCAATTCTGGCTTTTATATCAAATGTTTGAATTAAATATTAGATTTGACAGACAGTGTACTTAATAATGCAGTGTAAATGATGTGCTCTATGTTATGTCACTCTTGAATGTAATTTTATTAAAATACATAAATAATTAGCGCAAACATTGAATAATAAAACATACATTTTCGATATTATCTCTAGATTTAAAAGCTTTTTACATTAAATAATTTTAAAAAGCTTTTTAATTCATTATTTTGCAAAACACTTACTAAATAACTTTTATGTTGTACTCAATGTTTAATTGATATGTGTATGATTTAATAGAATTATGTTATCCAAAGCCAGCATGGTCATTACAACTACAGTACTTTTGATGATGAAATTTTGACATAAAATGTTGCAAAAATATGTTAATTGCCTGCAATAGTAACTCCTATTTATGCATTTTGTTATGCAATACAGAATTGAATTTAGTTGTATCGCCGGAATTGATCCACATCTAGCTAAAAATAAAATTGCCCTGCTTCAGAACACATGCAATACTCTTGCAATCATATTAAAAATACATTATATTCAGTGATAAATATATGTTTTAGTCATCTCTAGTGATATAAGAATATCGATAATATGTAATCAATAGTAAGAAAGACAGTAATTGGCGTAAAATGTCTTTTTTATTGCAATCATTAGAAATTCATTTATTCAGTAATCTTTTGGATCTCTTTTCAAATGACTTGTAAATAACGCATAGATTGAGTTCAGAGAGCAGTTATGCCACCAATGAATTCATATAAGAATTAGTTCTTAAGTCTATTATTAGACACATTAACGTCTAGTGAGTGATGCCTAACGTTTTCGGAGACAATTTCATCCCAAACCTAATGTCAAACAATTTATATAACGATCAAAAGACTTACCATTTATTTATTTATTGATTAATTTAATAATAATCGACAAATAATTGGCTTTGAATTTGAGGTTAATTAATGTTATTATCATTTTATTTCAATCATTCGTACATTGAATTTAATTCAAATATAAAAATTTTTATATACAATAATTGAATTATAGGAATATTTAGTTACAATTAAACAGTTTTTAAAAAAAATGTGAATAAATGTTTGTCACAATTATATTTATTAAAATGCCTAATGGTTTGGTTTTTAATAGTGTTATGTAAATGATTGCACCATTTAAATAATTATATTTTTAATCTAATAAAATTTCAAATTGTAAATAATAGTTATAATTGACTCTAAAATACAGTACTAATAAAAATAATATTTATCATAATTAATATTTATTTGTATGTAAATAATAATATGAAATAAAATCTGTTAAAGCAATAATCGTAATGTTAATGAGGTATAGATTTCGGCCAAGTTTTTGTTAATATTAATGAATGAAGTATTAAATGGGAAAATATAGTGGGAATGGTGTGAAGTATTTGAAATGTTGGCACAAATCACGGTTAGAATGAAGTTCTCGGAAGAATCAAAGGCACAGCAAATCTTATCACTGGATTCCGTCCTTTACTATAAGGTCTGAAATAATGTCTCACATTTCCGATCGGTTTCTTATCCAAAGCCGTTCGCTATTCCGTTCATACAATTGAAATAAATATCAATTAATGGCTAATTTAATGCTAATGCAATGCCAGTGAACTCGTAATGTATTTATGGGTTAGAATAGACAAAATCAGCAAACAATTAAACTAAATTAATTATGCATTCATCTAATCTATTGTTACATAAAGTATCATACTTAAAAACTATATATAAAATACAAAACAAAATTAAAACAAATGGTTCTAATGGTCTATACTTACAAAAAGGAGACAAAATATCAGCAATTCTTTAATAAACAGGTATTTGTATTGTATATCCAGTTCTCATAAAATTTGTCGTACGATTCATTTGATTCACGAATTTTTGGATTAAGGAATTGAAATGGATTTATAGATAAAATTGCATAGAAATAGAGTTATAATATAGTTTATGAAAAGTATTTTTGTTCGTAAAAAAGTCAGTCAAAAGTGTGAGCAAATGTGCAAATGATTGCATGCATTGATTGGATTAAAGCTTATAAATCGTAAGAAACATTATCACAGATTAGATTTGATATGTTATGCATTCAAACAGACATTTACTCTATAAGTACTTGAAGTACTGGAACTCATTGCCAACACTAGTAAGTACTTACGGCTATCAGCGAAATGCCGGCCATACTCTCAGTACAGTTCTTAGACTTATTGTTAGATTTCTTATCAAAATGTTTATTAAGCTTTTGTGAGACTGTATTCAGCATATCGTTAGTGCCGGCGCTGTCACCCTATAGTCCAATAAAAACGGGCAATAATTAGTATTAAAAGCAGTTAATGGCTGTGTTTAGCATCTCTTACCACAACCCATGGATGTTCAATGACTTGGGTTGCGGTGAGTCGTCTGCTCGGATCCACTTCAAGCATATCCATTATCAACTGTTTGGCCGACTCTGAGATCGGATCCCAATAGGGTTGAGTGAATTCAAAAGTTCCCGACAGTATTTGATCAAAGAGTAAGTCCTGATCGTTGTCTTCGTTAGCGAATGGAGGGAAACCACAGAGAAGTATGTAAGCGATAACACCGGCCGCCCATATGTCCACTTCCTTTCCATAACCCGTTTCGGCCAAAATTTCTGGCGCCACATAAGTAGGAGTTCCGCAAACAGAGTATAGATTAACGCTGTCCTCCATTTCAACCGCTAAACCAAAATCTCCTAATTTTAATGATTTGACACCATTTTTGTCACAAATGAGCAAATTTTCGGGTTTGATATCTCGGTGAACGATATCCAGTGAATGCAAGTATTCGAGAGCACCCGACAGGTCATGGATCATATGACTCGCATCCACTTCTGTGTATTTGTTGGCTAAAGTGATCGCATCGAACAAATCTCCGCCCTTTCAGACAAAACAAAAGCAAATGTATTTTTCATAGTAATGTCGGGGCAATAGTTTTGTCAGAAAATCATTAGAAAAATAACTTATGTTTAAATCATCGCAAAGAGTCTATCATTAATTATAATTAGAAAAAAGCTCTGATTTTCTAATGTTTTGTCTAATGGAATGCAAATACAGAATAATAGCAAATCTAATGAATGTCTGGAAATATAAATTAGTTTTTTCGCATTGGATTCAAGAAATGGCATTTAAAAGCGGAGGCAAAGCGAAGGGGAAAACGGGGAGTGTTGGAAGACGGGGTTATTGAGTGCATACCTTCACTAACTCCATGACTAGGTATAGTTCATTAATGTAATCAAAGTCTTCAATGAGTTGAATAATGTTGTTATGTTTGACTTTGCGTAAAATCGCGACTTCGGAGGCAATCATAGCCTCTTTTCCCTTACACTTGGATTTATTGATTATTTTGAGTGCGAACTGAGCTTTGGTTGCCTTATGAGTGCAGTGGTGCACAACAGCAAAGTTGCCGTCGCCTATGATTTGTCCGATTTCGTAGTGTTGTGTCACTTGTTTGGGGAACAGAATCGATACGGAATAGCCGTTCCCATTGTACCCATAATTGCCATTAAGAGCTGAATTGCGACTATTCTTCTCATTCAATTTGGATCCTATTTTCGGTGAATTTTGATTGTGAGTAGAGATGACTCCTTTGCCATTACTTAGAGTGCCGTAAATGACTGATAGCGGCGACGAAGCGCTCTTTTTGCCGCCTCTGTAGCAAACACTTTGGCTCAAAGACGACGTCTTCGAGTAAACCAGTTTGTGCTCTATTGTCAGCCAGACATGAATGCCATTCAAATCATATACACATCCAATACATAGTATAAAGAATATATAGTAGAGAAAAATGAATCAAAATAGAGTCAAAATAAATTATGTGTTATATCAACACAAGACGCGACTATTCATCGCTAAAAACCATTGGAGAGAGACGTGTATTATATGTAAAAGCGAGTGGAGAGGGATGTGAAGGATGTGAGGGATATATCATATATACGGTGTATAAATGTGCCCAACATTTCAAAGTGGATGACTCACAGACCTCATCGGATAATCAATACGCTATGGTTTTCCCTAAACTATTGGTTTCTCTATTATATTCACTGCAATTTTGCTAACTTGTCGTCAAAACAAGTTGTCATGACTTGAATGTTGGGCGCAATTGAACCAAACCCTCACTTTCACAGACATGCATACCTTCAGAGTCGAGATCTAAGTCTTCGTGAGAATACTTTTCAGTACCAAAAGCAATAAAGATGTCCTCTTCTGCGAAAAAGTCTGACAGACATAAGACCTGAGAGTAAATCAAAAAATAAAATAAATTAGATTTGTATTCATTAGTTATTTAAGACTTCCTAACGAATAAATGATTGCTTTTATAAACTATTAAAATATTTTTCGCAACAAAAATAGCAAAAAGAAAATGCAATGAAAAAAATATTGTAAACTAAATAATTATAAATCACATCAAAATGTTTTGAAGCATAAGAAATTAGATGAGAGCTGAGAAACACAATAGATGTTAGGGCTGTGCTCTGTGCTCGGGGTTAAAGGTCTGCAGTACTCATGGTTTATATAATATTCACCCCTAATGTCAGTGAAGAGAAGAATACAGTTAGATATAGATGAGAGAGAGAGAGAGAGAGAGAGAGAGAGAGATTTCACTGACATTAGGGGTGAATATTATATAAACCATGAGTACTGCAGACCTTTAACCCCGAGCACAGAGAGAGAGAGAGAGAGAGAAATTGAGTGGATAGTACATTGGGTTGAAGACAAGACCTCCTCCTTAGAGATCAATATTAATCTGTTTTATGTGTGAATTTAGAGAACAGAGAAAAACAAAATCGAGAGATCGAGAGAGAACTCAAAGACTCCAATAAATAAATAGGTTTATGTACTCAAGAGTGGAAACTACACTATCAATAGTGTCTCTCACGTGTCGGGGGCTGTAATACATCGGTTGAGACTAATGTATAAATTGTATTGAATTGAGTTAAAAGAAAAGGCAATGAAAGCAATGATTGAAGACGTTTTGTGGCCTTTTCTCCGCCGCTATTGTCTGTTCACTACATTCACTACAACGTAACGATCGTTCATCTGTTTTGTACCTGATTTCCAGACAATGTATATATCCTGCGAACAGAGCCACAGTCCAGTCTAATAGTGTTTGTTATATCGTTCAGCACTTTATCATAGGTTTGAGCCGTCTTTTTGTTGAGAAGAAGTCGCGACACTTTGCGTGGTTTCACACCATTCCTGATGATTGTCACTATTTTGGGTCGAATAAAGTCCGGCATTTTTGGTGTCGGAGAGGCTGTCGATGACGATGAAGACAGGGATGACGTCTGCGATGATTGAGTTTGACTCGACTGGACATGTGATGGGATGACAGGCAGTGGCGGTATTGACGAGAAACTCAATTGATTGTCGCCCGCACTCTCAACGCAACACTTTTTCCCGTTTGTAATAATATTAGTGTTTTTAAGGCTGACTGAGCTGTTGGCACAGATAGCGCTCATATTGGATACGGACTCGTAGTCGACGCGAATGTAATTATCGTTTGAAGAACAGACATAACTCATCGATTGGTATAACTGTTCCAGTGATGTGACTCTTTTGCTGCCATCGATGCTGAATATGAAGCGAACGCCTGTCGGCAAACCGATCTGTTTGTCACAAACAAAAACATACAATACATTAATCAATCGATAATCAGTTCATATTATTTATAACAATGTATGGAAAAAGTTTTACACAAATTCACGCCATAATAATCGCAAACAACTTTCAGGTCTAATAATTCATATTTAATGCAATTAAACACTTAAATTGAGTTTAAATTTTATTTTCATAAGTTATGGGAATTTTCAGGAAAAAAGAGTAACAAAAATACAATATATAATGCGAATAATGAACCATATGTTTCGGTCAGCACTGAGACCATCACATCAGGGCTTAAGAGCATTAGGAATAATGAAATATGTTTTTCATATAAAGTATTAATTAATAATTCAGACGATAAACCATTTGTGAGAGAAATAAATTAAACAAATAAAAATAGAGCTCAAGAGAACTCTCATTGAATATGAGGTCGACTGTTGTTTGAAACAAAAAACAATTAGATATTTGTATACTCAGAGCGATAACCCTTTAGTTGTTTCACATTTTCAGTTGTGTTTAACAAGAATTCGTTACTTCGAGACTAAGAAGTGAGAGAAGAAGAATAATAATACAATTCTTCTCAGATATCTTAATGAACAGTGGATTCAAAGGACAACAATTCACAGCAGTATTAGTACTAATAGTTGTGTCTTTCGGGGAGAGGGAAGGAAAGGGAGCGGTAAAGTTGAGCCATTCATCCATCCATTGTTCAATTATTCAAAATATAACAAATAGTATTACATTCAGAGAAACTCTAAAAACCTTTTCTACAAATATATTTCATTAATTATAAACTTTAATCTCAACTATAATTTGTTTTTCCATTAAATGAATCTCTTCTTTGCAAACATTTAAGAGCCCTCTTAAAGAAGACTCAAAAACTCATAAGAGTTTGCATACAAAATGCAAGGTATAAAATATTTCACTAACACTACACATAAGCTGAAGAGTTAGATATAAAAAAGGGCTTCAATACTAACATCCTATGCGTTATATGAGATCTTCTTAAATGAAATGCTTTAAAGGCTCTTATTTTAGATTTTATTATAACATATATATTATAAAAAATGCAATAAAATGTATTGAAGCTGTGCTCTTAGTTCTAACAACAATAGTAACATTAATAATATTCAATAATGAATTCGTGTCGAGAATGAAGAATGTGAGACAAAAGCCAACAAAAAAGTTGTTAACCAGAAATTGAGTTCATTTGTATGATTTGTGGGCAAATCGGTCGTAACCTTTCTATTTATGCGAACCTATGTTTTCCATTGCATTATATACTGGATATTCAAATGTGTAAAACAAAAATATTGACGTAAAAAACGAGTTTATATTATACTATATTAGATATTAGATTAAGTAAATATCGAAATGAGAAATAAGATCTAAAGCCATAACATTTCATAACGTATTAAAGCGATAAATGCGTGCAAAAAAACAGACATCCACTCAAACAACAGCACTATTTTTGGTATAAAACACTCAAAACTATTCGTTTTTGATAGCATCTGATGTATAATTATTATTATTCATGGACTCTATAGTCGATACCAGTTTTTTCAATGCATTTAAAACCCACACAATCAGAAAAGCATTTAAATTGCATTTCATATCCGAATCGAGACTTTTAATGTTATTTTAATTATTTAATAATAACTGACTTTCAATACGTGACACTTATTATCCGCTATTTATTAGGTCTTTCAAAGAATTCAAAATATATCCCTATAGAGAGTTACAACACAAGAAAACCTTGTATTGTATGCAATAATAATAAATTATAAATTAGTTTTGAATTCATTTCATAAAAAATAATTAAAAACTGTATTTAATATGTGAATGGATGCCAAAGAAGCAATACTTTATTTGATAGCAGTATTCACAGTCATATCCAATAGTATTTTGAGCTGAAATCATGATATGAGCGGAAAATCAGTCGATGTGTTAACAAAATATTCACAATAAAGTAGAAAATTAAGAGACGTTTGAAATGAAAGATAAGAAGTTATTTATTGCAATCAGAGATCGTTTCTAATACTCAGGAGTGGTGTGCCGTTTGGGAGAGAATGACTTCTAACCGAATTTTCCTGCATTTGTTGGTTTTGTTGCAAAAGTAGTGAACATTTATGTCACGAATCATAAGTTCTGTATTTATTACAACCATTTGTCTGTTGTCTGCAAACATTTTGATAATTTTAATATGAATCCAAACATGAAAACAAAAATTACATTAGTTTTGTTTCTGTGGAAATGTATGTAAAAGAAAACACGTTTTGATTTCAAAATTGAAATCTAGAATAAAAAACATTTAAATTTTAATACATTTAAAGGGGATTTATATTTCGTTAAATAATAGCAAAACAACAAATCGGTTGAAATCAATTGAAATAAAAGCCTGATTTCGAGAAAATCTCAACGATTTTGGGGTCAACTTTAGGGAAGGTTTTTGATACTAAACTAAGATAAACGATAAGAGAGAAGAAAACGAATACTTTTAAAAATAAATTCAATTCAAAGCTAGTGTACAGAAAAAGAGAGAGCATTTAATGTGCAATAAATTTCTTATTAAATGAAAAGCGTTGTCAAAGGTATTGCGAGAGAGGATGTATGACAACAAAGGTATGACTTGTCTGTCATATGGAAACACAAACATAAGTATCGCATATGAGATAAAATAAAATATATAATTCAGGAAATGATGTTTTATTAAATATACGGTGTTTTGCGATAAGAATCTGAATTAGTATGAAAAACAACAGACACTTCACAGCAAACAAATGGCTAGAGAAGTGATGTGTCGGTGCGAACAGTACTCGCATAGTGTCAGCAAACTTGGGTGACGTCCTATTATTCAACAGCACTTTATTTCATAATTTAAATTAATATTTCTTTTGTTATAAGACATTGTGTGTAAGTATTTGCGGATTAAAATATATTCAATGATAAATGAATACTTTGTTTTGAATGCAACGAACAGATAATAGTATAATAAGTATCGGTTATTATATGCGCTAAACATTGTTAGAAAGCTGTCAATTGTATGTGATATCCGAAACAAAGCTGTCATTAATTGCAGACTAAATTGAATTATCAATTGAATAGACTTTGAGATTAATGGCAGTTGTGTTGTGTTGATTGTGAGGAGTAGAGCAAAGAGAAACAGAGAAAAAAACAAAATCAAAACATGTTTTTGCAGCCAATGTCTGAAACGATGAGGGAATGAATTAACACATAAGTGAGTGAACTAACAATTCTTGTGCCTGAATGGCATGCATTCAAATTTCAGAGATAATTAAATGAGTAATAAATTTGTGGATAATTTAAGTCTAAATAAAGAAATCAGTCAATCGGATCAAATGATAAAATAGTAGTAAAACTCGAGCTTCCGTTCCGAACAACACATACTTTCAATTAATTTACTTCAAGACATGAATACATATTACGTGTTGATAAGCAATGCAATCACTTAACGAACAATTTTTATTATTATTTAACCATTTATTAGGTGTGTCTGAAAACTATCGGTTTAATGATAAACAGCTCTCTTATCGTTATGCAATAAAAACGTTAAGTGATTTTCATTTTTATTTTTACTGGTAATTAATTTCAAGACATCGACAACTCTTGTGAGACAAACGAATCGCTCGAACGGAAGATATATTCCGTGAGAAGAGCTCTTCATTTAAAGTTTACACTCATTTAGAGTTCAAGAAAGTGTCTGTTGTCTGAGTTTTATGAGAATTTTAAATATTTTTTCTATTCATGTTTTCATTATCAACAAAAATTCAGTTTTAATTTAATAATAAAACACCCGCTTTGATAAGAGAGCGAGAATTCGCAGACAAGAGTTCACAAATGTTTGCTTTAAAAATACATCAAATTATTGTTTTGTAAAATATTTTCAATGAAAACAAATCAATAGACAGTATAGTAAACCGAATGTTATAATAATAATAAAAGAGTAGATTTTTAGTAATTCACAGAATACTAGCTATTAGTTTAATGATGTGCTCCAAACCGATCGATATTTGATGTTATTTTTCTCGCGTTTTTGTCTTCAAATCCCTATTCTTATGAAGATTTTTGATGGAGAACTGAATCAAATGCTAAAAGCGTTGAACATTTTTAAAAGAGATCATAAAATATATAATATAATCGATTGAAACAAAACAAAAGCAACGAAAAAACACAAAAATCACAGAAGAAATAAATGCCAGAAAATTCCGGTGTTTTCGACAATAATAAATATTCCGGTTTTATGTCAATCTCTGAACCAAAACTAAACCAATTTTTCACTCAATAAGTATTTGTAAGAAAATATTAACAAAAACAGTACGAAATGAAAAGAAAACGACACAAACATTAGATTTGTTTCAACACAAAGACATACACAACTGATTGAGAGATATATTGAGATTAATTCACTTTCAGAGACCGTTTCAGTTATAATAGATTTAGAGAAAAGAATAACATTTTATTCAAATCAGATAATAGTTTGAGAAAAAATAACATTACGTTTTCCAATGAAAATCATTTTATTAATGTCTCCATCCTTTTGAACAAAACGCACACAAAAGAGATTTTGTCCGCAAATAGAGATACAAACGAAACGAGAAAAATATATTTCTATATAAAGACAAATACATTGCCTTTCACTCAATTTAAGACTAAAATTTTCTTTCGGGACTTAAAGATAAAAATGAGATAAACGGAGAGTTAATACAAGTGAATGAAAAGCAAAATATAAAAAAGTAAAACAACTAAAAAACAACAAAAAATCTAATAAAATGTATCGCAAAGAAAAAGAGTAAAAACCAAAGTCAAGAACTATTGAGACATTGACACAAAAAACCATAGATTAATAACGAATAAAAATATTTACGGTATAAATATAAGTTGTTTTTTAATATCAAACACATTTCACTTCAATCCGAAAATATCTGAAAAACTAATGCAAAAAAGTGTTTCAAAGAGCGATAAACGAGCGAAAAATATAGTTTTTCTAATTATACGGAAAAAACAAAAATTATATAATTATTTATGTGAAGAAATGACAGAAAGGAATGCAATTAAAAAAACAAAAACAACAAAAAAGTTTTATTTGTTGTATTGATAAGTGTTGTGAATGAGTAATGAAGCAAATAATTGGCGTTTCGTGAATGGGTTCGTGAAAAAAGTGGTACTTTTTTTAGTATATAAATGGCTGTAAAATATGCTATCAATTGACGACAAACACCCAAATAGGACACCATATGAGAAGAGATGGTATGTTATAGCATGTGATACCCGATGCCAAGTGTGGGTTGACTCTCAAGTACTCAACAATTCATTTGTTTAATTAATTACACAAATATTTGACTCCTTTTCATATCTTTATATTTAAAGTGAAGAAATAAAATAAAATAAAAATACTTCAAAACTAATTCCCAAAGCAATGATATGTTTCATACATTTTTCCTTGAAATCGCAAATCAATGTATTTTTTATAAACAAAATCAAAAATACAACAAAAACCAAGAAAAAACACTTTTCCTTATATGAAGTCATACCTCATAATAAAAGTCTTATAAATACTTATAAATAATTAATGACTTTTTTATACAAAAGTGAGGATTTGAGCCAAAAAACTAATGCATTAAAAATAAACTCAAATTAAATGTTTCGTGAATTAAATGCATTGAAAACATGAATAAATGGTTTTGTAAATTGAATGTAAAGCGCGTCTCAAATGTTGGGATCAATTGACGGCAGACTTACGTGATGTCTGAAGAGTCGGTTCAGGTCTTGGATGAGGGCATCGAAAGTGCGAATTGTCTTATCATTGAAGGCATAGACAAAGCCTTTGAAATATTTGTCTCCATTGAGGAAAAACTTCACTCTTTTGCCCCTCTTTTCGGCCGAAAGTCGCTGAAGACTAACCCTATTGTGAGGTGTATTGTGTGGAGTGGAAGGGCTTATGGATGTGGTTGTGGTGACCGTCTTGTGGTCAGCGGATGGCACGGGATGTGAACACGAGTGACAATTGTCTTCGTTATTGTTATTGTTGTTGACAACACTTTCGTCCAGAAGTTGGCTCTCTTTAGCCATTGTTTTTGTTGGCCTTTAATTCAACACATAATCAATTCATACCAAAGTCTTAACGCATTAAAGGGTTGACACAAATCACACGATTGAATGGCAATCAATGGTTAAGACAATCAAATGAGTGGACGAGAAGTGGTGTTCAGTGTTTGAGAAACACGTGAATCGATTGGAAACCCATTTAAAGGGAAAGACCTTTAAATGCAGCCAAAAGTGAGTGAATGAGAGCTCATATGAAAGCAAACACAACACAAACGCATCGTTCGTACGAAACACTCATTCAAACGCTTGCCTTCAATACAATGACAGCACTATTACTGCTACACAACACAAACACCCTATGATTCATACCATTCACTGCTTGTGTGGTTTGGTTGCCAAACAACTCTCCCCTCAACACTAATAACGTTCACAATTACCTATACTTTCAACATAAAGGGGGCATTATTTTGCCGGCCGTTATATGTGGTCATACTTTCAAACATGTATCCAATAGTAAGTTTTAACAGCATATTGTAAAATAGCATGTATTGAATGTGTAGTGAATGGTGAGGTACCAATGGGAGCATGGGATCACCCTGATCATTGACTTACTCCCCACAACTAGTTTAACAGTAATTACTTTTGATTATATTTTTGTAATCTAATCGTAAATCTAAGGAAATTACAAAATAACTCATTTTAACAACATTTTTGCTATTCATTCAAATGTTTGTTATTTAATAATTATTATTTATTGAATTAGATTTCATTCAATTGTTCACCACTTCCTCTCCAAATGTCTTTCAATTGCCAATACATTGAAACATAAGAACCCATTCGACAGTTATATTGAATGCAATTTAGTTTTTCGGTTATTCTTATATAACAACCAATTCTTTATTTATTTGAAATGTTATTTTTTGAAGTCTAGTAAAAGTCTGACACAAATGTAGCATTTAATGACATTTAAAAACATTATTGTTTCGTGACCTCTATTTCATCTCTCTCTCTCTCTCTCTCTCTCTCTCTCTCTCTCACAAATGAATATAAATACTTTTATCTTATTTGATGATGTAAAGACATTCTTACCTGACATTCTTAATCATAATAAATGTAGAGAGGGAGAGAGAGAGAGAGGGAGGGGAGAGAATGCAATGAAGAGTTTGTGTGAAATAATAAACAAAATTCAGTGTATTTTGAATACAAACAATAGTGTTTTGTGTGAAGCGATTGAATGCAAAAATTTATTACATATTATTGCATTGTAATCTTTGTTTATCAATAACTGTATTTTTTCATTTAAATTTTTTAATTAAAATTGTCTTGTTTTAAAATTGCAATTGAGAATAAATTTATTCAAATATTAAAATATGTTTTTTTAAATTTGTTTTATTTTGTTTTTTGTTTAATTGCAAAAGATTTTTTTGAGTGCATTTTCCTTACAAAAACCGTTGAGATCACAAGCTAGATGATAACACAAATTTTGGGCAAAGAGACCAAGATTCTTGCCGTAAAAACATAATTGTTATAAAACTTCAAAAAATGTTTTAATATTTCAATATTGTTATGAATTATATTTAAATGTATTAAAATGTGAACAAATATTAAAAATTTAAAAAATGTTATAAATTGTGTTAAAATAAAGGCAGTAAAGGTGTTTCAGCGAATCACAGACTGAATCCGAGGGCTTATTATTTGCAATAATTGTAACGAATAGATTATAATCGCAATCAAAACCTATAGAAAATAATTGCAAACAAATGTTAGAATTTTTAAAAATTATTATTAATTTAATTTGAAAAAACTAACACATGTTAAAAGAGTTGTAGAAAACGAGAATATATTAGCGATAGTGAAGCCAAACGTATTGTCCTGTTTTAAGGACGAGAAATATATGGCCTCTCGATAGACATCTTTGTGTGCGGTTTGGAGTTCGATGTCATCCAAAGAAGACAATACTTTAATTGCTTTCTTGTTAACCATTCCGTGAAGTATGCAATTGATTGCAAATCTCAATATATTCTCCATATTAGTGACAAATGTGATCGAGAATATAGTGGACACCTGTCTGTCCATAATTGCATATATTTGAACCAAACAGCCATAGATAGCAATACCG